CGCCCGGCCGCCCCCCCCCCCTAGTTGCGCCTTTGTCCGGCACTATATACTATACAATCTTAGTTTGTTCCTTTGTATAACAACTAAATCAACGTTTTCCAGTAAGAACAGACCAATAAACTCTAAAATTATTATATTTAAATAACATCACCCATTATATACTAAAATATGAAAACTTTGGATATTATAGAGTTAGGAAGAAATGAGCGTCTTTTATGTTCAAACATTTGACTACTCTTACATTTTTTTCTGGAGAAAAAAAGATAATATTTAAGAAATAGACAATCATGAACGATTTAAAAAAATGAAAGAAATTAACAATTAACTAATTGATATTACAGTATAATTTATTCTTTAAAAATTCAAAAATCCATGACTATTACAAAAACGCTTAAATAGTGTCTATACAAAGGTACCATACAAATGTTGTACTTTGTGCCGGAATTCTGAACACTTAATTGGCTTTTGCTCCGGCCACAGTTATCTTTAAAAAGTAAGACTAATATTAATGAATAGCTAATAGGCTATTTAGTTTACCTTGAAATTACCTAATTAAATGAAAGGTAAATAATTCCAATATTTATTTGGACTTATTTGGAGATAAAATTGGATGTTTTGATAACTTCTATAATTGTATTTAGAGAAGCTGAGGTAATCATATTCCATCATCATGGATAGCAGCAGCAGCAGTATATTTATCAATCAAGAGAATGCATCCACGCTTAAAATGGCAAGCATTATTAACATTTTCTTTTTCGTCTCGAAGCATCTTATCAGAAAGAGATCACGCCGACTAAACAGTTCGGTCCTTATCCCAGAGAACTATAACTTTCGATCACAATTTGACCTATAATATATTTCATCCTTTTCTCTTTTATGTGAGCATATGCGTTTTGAACAAAAAAAGTATAAAAGATAATTCTGTAAGTTTAATTAAAAATTGTTGAATTTTAGACGAACACATGATTGAATTCAAATAGGAAAAACCGATAAGTCTATTTTGAAAAATTTTCTTTTTCAGTACCTTTGTGCGCTTCTGTACTTGTTACCAGGATTTACAGGAGGAGCAGCAATATCATATTCAGCTGCAGCTCTGCCCTTCTACACAGATTCATCAAATAACTCTACTATTCAGATGACAGAATCAGAAGCTTCTTGGTTTGGTAAGCAAGTTTACTAACATAATCAGTGTTCTTACGGTGTTTATCAAAATCAAGTTTGTTATTTAAAGTAAAATACTCTGGATGTGTTACAATGTACGAAAAATGTCGTCTCCAACGTAATAAACAGTCAAAATCCTCATATGACATAACTGAGAATTGGCGGAAGATGAAGTGGCAACGTTGTTGGTGAGAGGATGGCAGGAGGATTTTCTCTTCTTTTTACAAAGTTTTCATTTCAACTTCCGCAAATACTTGCAGTTACGTCATTTGAGGATTTTGAGTGTCCATTGATATGAAGACGACATTTCCCGTACATTGGAGCGCATCCAGAGTATCTAACCTTGAAAAACCTTGATCAAATTTAAGAAAGTAATCAAATCTATTTTCAGTGAGTTTGGGTGCACCAATGCAGATGCTGGGCAACTTTTTGTCAGGATTTGTAATGGAGAGGCTGGGTAGAAAGAGAACAATCATTTTTAGTTGTGTTCTTGTCCTCGTTGCTTCAACTATACTATCCTTTGCTACAAAATATGAGGTATCCTATAAGATCATAAAAAGTAATGCTAATTATGACACAGAATCTTAAATTTAATATATTCAGGTTCTGTTGGTGGGATGTTTCTTGTGTGGCACTGCCGTTGGTCTTGTCAGGCCTGCAATCAGTCTTGTTATCTCAGAAATAACACTAATTCGGTATTTGTTTTATAAACAAAAGGTTTAGTATAAGATGAAATCTAATCTGAGCTGAAAACTCCCGATTGCTAAATCTCTGTATCCATTGTGAACATTTTTGATTTCCTTCTTAATCATCTCTTTTGGATAGACCTGCTGGATTCCGACCAATGAGAGTTCTCTCAATAATTACAGGCAAAACTAATATAACAATTTTTCGGCTTCTGATTGGCTATTCGGCATTCAACACTCAGATTGGTTGCATTTAAGATCCTTTCCTGGATATTACTTAAGATTAAATTAATCTTAAACTTAATAAAGAGAAGAGATCAATCGTCGATCTTGATATCCAAAATTCTAACGTTTTCATCTCTGATATTCTAGGTTAAGAGGATCAATGGGGAGTTTGATGACCCTCACACCAAATGGTGGATATCTCTATGGAATTATGTTTAGCAGTATTGTTCCAGTTCATATTCTACCCTGGATTCTTGTTTTACCAAGCATCATTTTCCTTGTCTTCTCCTGGTACGTTGTGGAATCTCCAATATGGTTGATGACAAAGGGAAGAACAACAGAGGCCAGAGAGGTGATTGCCTGGCTAAGAGGACCTCAGTATCATCTTGAACCTGAAGCTAAGGAACTGGAGAACCTGGCATGTGAACAACTAGGAGATCAACCTGTGAGTAGGGATCCTATTCTTAGCAGAGCTTTTCTATTTCCACTCTTCATTCTTAGCTCCCTATTCTTCTTCCATGCACTAGTGGGTGGTGATGATATATCATTCTATGCATTGACAGTATTTGATTATCCAGGAGTAGCAATCAGCCCGACCTTGATGGCCATGCTTTTTCAAACTTCCTTTACAGTTGGATGCCTAATAGCTCCGATCATAATGCGAAAAATAAACCGGCGCCCTCAGTTCATTGCAGGCTCCATAATCCTTGGATCCCTCAGTGCAATTATTGGATTTTACTATCAGTTCCATTTTTACAATATTTCCTCGATCCTAGCATACTCACCTGTGTTCTTGCATCTAGCCTTTGGTTTCGCCTATGGTACCTTGTTTGGACCTATACCTGTCACCTTGTCAAGCGAAATGTTTCCTCAACACTTTAGATCCTTGGGCTGTGGCATCTCTAACTCTACAAGATATGTCTCACAGTTCATTCAACTCAAAACCTACGTTATGCTAAAGGAATCGCTAGGCATGAGTGGTGTATACTATATTCACTGTGTGGTAGCAGTATCTGCAGCAGCCTTTGCTTTTTTCCTTCTCCCAGAGACAAGAAATAAAACCTATACAGAGTTAGAGGAGATGTTTAAGAAGAGTTCACCACCAGATCTTGAAAATGTTAAATCTCCAAATCCTAAATTAGAATTTCAAATGTAAATTTCTATCTCAAATTGACACAATAAATTATAAAAAATCTGATCCATCATTAAACTTATATCCTTGAAGTAATTTTAATCTAACAGCAAGGACAAAAAGTTATTTATGAAGATATCAGAATTCACAGATCTTCATTATTTATATTACATTATTTTATTGGGTATATTACAGATCTCAATATTTAATAACTAAGAAAGCACTATTTGCAGGTGCAACATTTTTGCAACATTTTAATAGTTTACATTTAATTAACCCTTAAAGGAACTGCAGGCGTAATTTAAAGTGACCCTCCATGCAACAGGGGTAATGCCCGATTTACAATGCTACCCTTGAAACCTTTGATTGTTCAGTGAGTAGAATGATCTTTCTGTTTAAACATATTGAAACCCGAATAAATTCCTCCAAAACGCGACTGTACGTTGTGTACAGTCTAAACTTAACAAGCTGAAGATCGACTGTTTTATGTTAACAACATTCTAAAAAATTCAAAGGTATATCTACCCCGTTCAGAATGTAACTATTGATAACTGCTTGCAAACAAAGTGTTCAGCAATTAAAAGTGTCTCGGTAGGAATAGGGATATGTCCGACATCCTTGATCAGTAATAAGTTTAAATGGTATAATTGTGAATCGGGCATTTCCCTCTTTGCATGGAGGGTAACTTGAAATTAGAGTCCCTTTAATGTTGACAATGTTCTTATAAAGAAGTATCTATGCGTTTTTTATTACGGGGAGTGACCGGCTATGTAAGGTAGTTGAACTGAGTATGCAGTGTTGTGGAAAGCTTCTTTAGGATTCATCTGAGACATAGCCGGTCACTCCCTTTAAATGAAAAAATAGCAACAACAAATCTACGCTACTAGTTGGATGGTGCATCTAACTATTCTATAATTACATAAAATCTTTTAATATTGTAATTAACTGATGCCATACCTATTTATTGGTAATGTTTGTCTGTTACTAAGAATAATGGTGAAAGAGTTTCCAATGAATTGGTAATTTCAACCATGGTTATTTTGTTATAAAAATACGATAAAAAGAATATTCTATAATAATAGATCTTGATTTCTATCAACATTTTTTTAAGAAACTGAGTTTTGAAATCTCTATATCTCTTCAATGTTGTACACCTTTGACATAAGCATGGACTATTTGATCTGAGCTGGGAACTTTTGAATTGTGGATATCGGGATTAAGACTTGATCCACTCTTTTTCTTAATCTCGAGATTAAATAATGCTTTTTCTCTTCTTTTAATTAATCTCCAGATTAATTAACAGATCGGGATTAAGGATATCCCATTCTAAAGTTTTCAGCTCTGATCACATTCACAGATTCATTTGCCTTCCCTAATGGATATAACTTAAATATCGCATTGTAAAATGAATATGTAAAAAATGTAATGGCTTTCGATCCTAAGGTTGTTGGATGAGTCGGAGGATGGATAATGATCCTAACTGGTTGCTGGATGAGTATAATGAGTCGGAGGATGGATAATCATCCTAACTGAAATATAATCTGAATTAATCTAAAATAGATATAAAAACTGTAGATATTTGGTTACAAAATATTTAGGTTTTTGTGTGTGTCATGAAACTTTTGGACATTTGACTTTATACCACTTGGAAAAAGCTGTTCACAAAATATTTCTAGAAGATATAGGAAGAAATTAATGACTTTATTTAAACAGGTGCTCAGTACTCCTAATAGATGTATGTAATGTATAACATTAGCATAGTGTTGAAAAATGAACACACTTCCCTCTTTACCAGTTTACCTTTTTGACGTGTTATGTTGTCACTATAATTCACTTGAAGCTTGTGTTATTTCTGCAAAGATCGAAATATATTTAGATCTAGAAATATATTTAGATCTAGAAATATATTTAGATCTAGAAATATATTTAGATCTAGAAATATATTTAGATCTAGAAATA